GTTTTTGCGTCTTTTTTAATTGTTTGACATTAGAGTGCATAGCCACCGTGATATTTAATGTCAAACGTATTTACTTGTATTAATTCTGAATTTTGTAGATTTTTGTTTAAACGTCGGCCAAAAAGCTTAATACAAATCTTGTGCGTTAACCATTTTACAGTGCTCAATTATTAAAGCACTCCGCTGCGCGTCGTGCTTCAAATTCATTTCGCACTGTAAAATGTAAGTTACCGCACACGAATGTAAATAACTATTTCAGTTGAGAGAAATTGCCGATTGCAAGTTTTAAAATTGACACAGTGTATAATCCGCATCCTGATTTAAACAGAGCGCAGCAAGAACTCGCCTTGAATGCTCTGTTTTCCGCTTTACTGAAATTTTTTTGTCGACTCACCTATACACCCCATAATGCTTCCCGCTCGCCCTGTCGCCGCATATCGAACACAAATGTTTGGAGCCACTGAGGGGATGATTTGGCGGATACGGCGACCCGGAACTTTTATTGGGCGTATTCCCCGAAGGACTCAGGAGACTCCCGTGTCCTCCCATTGAGAACGAAACGGGACTGTTGGGCCCTTGAGGACTAAATTGGCCCAAAGTGGAAGCGTCAGGTTTCATGTCCAATGGGGACTGGGGCGCTCCCAAACTGCCCATCGAGAGATTCTGGTCCAGACTAAGGGCTAAAATAGAGAAAAAATTGAATCGATATCAGACGAAAAAGATTGCTCTCATTATGTTTTTAAACAGCGTCTGTTCCCGGCGATAATAACGCAAATTACCGTCTTCCAGGTGGCAAAAAAACGTCGAAAACAGCGCACAATTTCTTATTTATTATTATACTGATTTGACCTGCAGACGACTTTTGTTCAAGGTTTCAACGTAAACACGCTATAGTAAAACTAGATATGTTAGGAAGCGGCAAACTATCATTAAAATTAACATTCAAAGAAAACAAAACCTGCCAAGGTCGGACACGTAAAAATAAAATAACCGACGAGGATTTTTGCCAGGCGGCGATTTTAACTGAGAAAAGTCGTATCGCGAATCGTACAGGAAATTGATTTACAATTACAAATTAATAATTTATGTATGTGGAATTTTTGTTACAACGAGCCAAACAATTGGTTTATTCACAGGAGAAAAGGAAAAAAACCCTGAAGGTTACCGAAATACAAACGAAAGTGTGGAAGCTGGTCTTGATCGTAAAAGTTATTCTAAACAAATGTCATCCGGACTAGATCTCGACAATTCTAGCACTCATTTTAAAAAATAACGACCTTTTGTGCTCTATTTTTTATGTTGGCAATGTCACGTTTTTTTTGGTACTTCCCACTTGCACGTATTTATAAACTAGAGCAACAATAGAATTCATAACTCATAATTGTGTCAGGTCAGGTCAAGTCAGCCTGTCAAAATTCTTAAACTTTGTTATATCACAAAATGTGATTGTTTAATCGCCTATAAATAATAATATTATTAAATGTGTAATTCCCCGGAAATCCTTAAACATTATACCTATTTTGTCCCAATTCGCCATGCACGAGCTTCTCTACGAACAATGAATGTAATTTCTCAGTATTTATGCTGAATTTCCGCTTTAAATAAGTAAAATTCTCAAACAAACTCATCGAAAATCAAAAATTTAGAAATCCGATAGAGGACACCAAATTAAAATTAATAACAATGAACCCTTATTATGCCCAATTCTTATCAACAATCTGACCTTGCCTTCACCACACAAAATAAAAATTATTTATGTACTTTAAAATTTAAATTTCGAATATTAAAGTCAAAAAACTGTTATCGATTTGCGACGCACTTTCCTTCTCGTTTAAATTTCAACAAAATTTTCCCCCTGTTATTGATTTTCCCGTCAAAGTTGTTTTCCTATCATACTGGAATCTGTTATCGACACGGTGATTTTCGCTTCGCGATTTTGACCAATTTTTTTTTTAGATTTTTGGAAAAGTATCAACAGTTTTCCGAGAAATGTTACTTTCATTTTTCATACACACATGTGCTTTGCTCCGGGAGACTTTTTATTGTCGACATCCCAGAAATCTATCTTCGGCGGCAAGGTTAGCGCTTTTTGCTGGCTACAGAATGAATCATGTGAAGCGTTTGGGAATTCGAAGAAGGAAAAACGATGTTCGGCCTACCGCAAGGAGGATCAGCGTGACTGCACATTTTTCCTTTTTCAGGAAGAAAAACAAGATTGTCAAGAAAACTTATTTTGATTAAATCATTTAAACATTTCAGTCCTCACAATTTGTCAAGATTTTGCACAAAGCAAATTCCTTTCTGCGTCCTCCAGCACAAAATAAAATCTCAAGCATGGAAAATATGCGCCGAGAAGTTTTATGAAAAACTATTAAATTAAAATTTGAAAATAAAGTGAAAATATCAGTGTTATTGACGTTTTAGTTAAAATTTGCTACAATAAAAATCGACATTTGGTGAAAAAACTCATATTGAAAAATGCTCTCTAGACATTTTTAAGGGTAGTAGTTGTCAACAATTAAATATATTTCCTTTTATTCACATTTTTGTCGCCACCAACAAGTTTTTGTTAACATTTGTTGAAAGTTAATGATGGTGTAAACAACAAATTTCGTGTTTTTTATTTCACCGCCCACATCGCTACTGCATCTTTCCCCAAATTTAGAATCGCATCGAACAAGTTTACAATTTTTATTTCGTATTCCCTTCAGTTTATTTCTCAATATTTACACAGTGTTTTAGCATACATATATTTTAAATTCTCCGCTCATCAGCTCTATAAATAAGTACATTTAATGGCATTGATTCGATTAGAACTACCTAAACAACCGAAATCTATTCTCGTCAAAGACAAATTTTTATCTCCTTCCTGCATCCACACGAAAACGCAGCTATAGCGCCCCTTGCGATAACACCATAAAACTGGTCAATATTTTTATTACGATAAACCAAACAATGTACAATTAATAACCAATAATCAATAAAAATGAAGCAACCAGTCTAGCCATTTTTATCAAAAAAAAAACCGACGAAACCAACAAAATGCCAACTGTATCGACGCAAAATATCAACCTTGAATTTTAACAATTTCCTCCATTAGGAAAAAAACAGCGTCTATTTTAACTGTGGAATTAAGTAAATTAGAAAAATTAGACCAGTAAAAAATTCGCAACAGCTGCGTCACACCTGGAGATGAAGACGCCGATAAACAAAAAGAAAATAAACATTTCAGACTAGACTTGACAGGTGTCAAATTGTTATCTGAGCTAAATCCTTGAATGTATCCTTGGCGCTATATTTAATACAAATTGCGATTTTTTTATACCTAGCGACATGTGTGGAGGTCCGAAATTAGGAAGACTCCGACTCCAGTTTTGCGCCCCTTGGATGATGGCAGTCACCGACATCATAGGTTTTTCTTTTTTCATCATTTTTGAAAATTTTTAATAACTATCACAGACCGACTTTATCACAAACAACACTCCACCAACAAGCCAGCAAAAAGTGTTTATTTCAGACTTTTTGATGTGTACACATTTTTTAATCACAACAATAAACTCAGCAGACAGCCGAGATAAAAATCCTTTATAATTTAATATCACATTTTTTTAATCCAGCGTTCCGAGAAATAACTTCCACACGCACACCACCACAAAAACACGCACACCCAGACATATACAAACTCGACTCTTGTTGCAGGATTCGGGATTGATCAGAGACGGCGTTGGAAGTCGTAATAAACAAAACACGCGCGTCTCTAGCACGCCGCCGACCTCGATCTTCACAGTCGCAAACAGTCTGCGAGTCTACGACGACGACGACGACCAATTTCGAGGGGGCCGCGGAAAGGAGGGGCGAGACTGCGATTATTTTGCCGGTGATTCATTTTGGCGCAAATTTCAAGGGACGGCAGATGAATTTTACGAATTTTGAAACGATTTATGCAACAGTTGGCAAACCTGCGAACACTACGAGGGGAAAAAATGACGAAACTGATCACGCGATGCAAAAATAATGGGATCTAGGCGGCCAGACGAAATTTAGTTACTTTTTCATTTGCTTGGTGGAACAAGGACATCGATTTTGTTACCACTATGGTGGCGATTTCTGGAAAATCGTAATCTGGGGAAATTGTCCAACTCGATTGAACAAAATTGTGAAAAAATCAAAAAAATCAATTCAAAATGAATCTTTAGGGTTCGGAGAAGAATTAAAAAAAGTACAATAATCAGTGTTTTCACAAAATCTTTTTATTTTTTTCCCAAACATTGCCACAGTAATAAAAAAAATTACTTAGCTAAAGAGCTGATAGAATTTTTATGGCAACATCACAAGAATTTGAATTGCCAATAAAATCCGACGTTAAAAGACAGTTCCTTTTGTCAGCTGGTCATAAAATTTAAATCTGCATTTATTTTCAACAATTAATTTAAAAATAATAAATCGTGTTGAGAGTTATTTTGTAAAACACAGATAAACTTTTTGATAAAGTGCTCGTCCTTCGATGTTCGTGATCATGAAAATAGGTCAAACATTCAACTTCTCCCTTCAAGTTGACTCTTTTCAGTCTTATTTGTTCTCTTAAGAAATAATTACTAATTAAAAACAGGGTGATCCGGTTAAATCCCACATTAGAAGTATTTAAGTTCTAACAATGATATTTAACTAAAAAATTGCATAAAGTCATAATCGGTTAAGTCTTGCTCAATGAAAATATTTTCAAGAAGGTGTCACTTCCGGTTATAGCGGAAATGAGTATCAACTTTATTTTTCTAAACAGAAAACTATTTTTTATTACGTTTGTGGGTTTTTTAAACTTTTTTAAAAATATCTGGATTTAAAACTATCTCTTCAAAAATCGGTTACTTTGCCATTTTTAACTATTATGAAATCTAAATGAAAACGGTTAAACTTATGTGAGGTTTAGACGGAACACCTGTATATAGGGTGTTCCAATGAAAACCAGCCACCCCGAATATCTCAGAAACTAAAAAGATTTGGCAGAAACGCCGAAACAGGTCGATTTTGTTTCTGATGGGGACAATTTTTGACGTAATTTTTAAATCACCCCCAGTAACCCTTTAACCCCCACGCACCCCAACCTTAAAAATTTAAATAGCACTACCCTACTTGTGGCACATCAAATGAAAACTATTTTAACAAGCTTTTCAAAACTTTTTACCAAAATTGAATCAGACCATCCATTCATGAGATACAGGCTGTTCTAATAAAAACGAACCAGAAAGAATTTGCAAAAAAAAACGAAACAGGTTAATTTTATTTAAAATAAAAACATTTTTTGACACAATTTTAAAAGCACCCCCTTTAACTTTTCCCACCTCAATTTCGAAATTTCAAATGACACCGACACTTGCGACAGATCAAAAAAAATGTTTTTAAAATGTTCTTTTAACCTCTTCTAAAGTTGAATGGGATTATTTATTCATAAGATATTCGCAAAAAATAATGTTTCTAATGAGTAATTACTTCTAATAAAAACTATTAACATAAATTACAAGAAACCTACTAATATTGTTATAAGTATTATTGAAACTGTAACAAACTTATTTTTATTCCTTTATTTTATTGTCAAAATAATCGGACTAAGGGACAGGGAGTAATAACGTTTCTTAAAATTTAATGTAAGTATCTAAAAAATAGCAATATAGTTCTTAAGTTCCTTTGTACACACTGACTGCTGAGAGATTAGTTTTTTGCCGATATTTTATGATTGTATAAAAATAATTTCATTTTGGAAAAAAACTTTTAAAGAGCATTTTAAAAGTGTTTTCATTTCTTGTATCACTAGTGGTTGGTGTTATTTGACATTTTAGAGGTTAGTAAAGGTGCTTTTGAAATTGCGTCAAAAAATGTCCCTTTTAAAAACAAAATTAACCTGTTTCGGGTTTTTTTTACAAATTTTTTCTAAGACAGTTCGTTTCTGTTAGAATACCCTGTATCTCAAGAATGAATAGTCTGATTCAATTTTGGTAAAAAGTTTTGAAAACCTTGCTAAAATAGCTTTCATTTGAAAGCTACAAGTAGGGTAGTGCCATTAAAATTTTTAAAGTTGGGGTGCGTGGGGGTTAAGAGGTTACTGAGGGTGCTTTAAAAATTACCTCAAAAAATCTCCCCCTCGGAAACAAAAACGAGTTTCAGTGTTTTTGCAAAGTCTTTTTAGTTTCTGAGATATTCGGAGTGGCTCGTTTTCATTGAAACACCCTAAATGTCAATTTTTTTGGATAAACATTCATCAATGGTTGGAAACTAAATTAAAAAAAACTGATGATAAGCACGATAACTAAAAGTTTATTCATCTGAAATTATAGCAACATTTATCAGTCCTAAATAATCTCATTATTAGGTTGTCAATTAATCCCAATGCCAAGTAAAAAAAAAACACTGTGTAAGGTCAATGATGTACAATTTTTTACAACGTTGTATTTTTTGATGTTATCAACTCAAACAAGCAAGACTTTATTGGACAGTTATTACTTAATTTACCTTTAATTAACTAATTGCGACTCTAAAAGCATCATTCCGAAACGTAGGAACGTGAAGTTGTTCCTCAAAAATGCTTAATTGGAATGTCGTACTGTAATTAATTAAACGTTTCGGCAAGTCAACTGAAGCAGAAATATTTCCAGATTTATATTCACCTTGTCAAACCCCAAGGACGACATCGGAATAACAAAAATCAAATCTATTAAACATGAAATTGCCACCAACAAACGAAACAATAGACAGTCTTCATGCCTATTCATTTGTTTATAATATATTTTGCGCAATCATCTCGTTATCTCCGTTTTTTGCCTCGATCAAATCTGAATTGTAAAAAAGTTTGAATCTCATTTCGATAAATCAAAATTTATTAAAGTGATGGGAATTGAAAATGGTGACCTTCGCGGCTCCAATTTTAGGTCAAGGCTGTCGGCTCAATACTACAAGCAAAAAATTCGAACTGGTGAGAATTCGACACGGCGGGAATTCTGGCGGTTTGACTGGTCGCGCCACCTGTCCAGATTTTCGGACACTTGTTGCTAAGGAAGAAAACTGCAAAATTTGCATTCTTGATTTTTTCACATGAAAAATTAATTTTGGGAAAATTGCTGATTGGCTCGGGTTTATTATCTAGAAGGCTTGCAGTAGGGTTAGAAAAAAACATTTTTTTGGGTTCAGAGAATGGGATTTCGGGCCTTTTTGGGGTACTTTTGGTGAATTTTAAGTGTGGTTTAGTTTGTTTTGTTGTATTTTTCGGTTTGTGTGCGCGAATTTGGCGTCAGATTGGAAATGCGGTCAGTGAACCAAATAGTTCGACCCTGACTTTGCCATTGCCCTTTGTGTCTAGAATCCCTCACCGTGTGGCCCAATCTGGCCAAAAATGAATAACATACCTCTATCTGTTGATTCCATGCTCCTCAAAACACTCACATAAATCACATCAAGTCGGAAAAATTGAAAATTTTCACTCAAAACAATACACAAACGCGAAGCCTACTTTCCAGTTTCTGTCTGCAATAAACATGGCCGGATTACCTCTGAACTCATTAATTTCTCTGGCACACTTTCCCGCCCTTTTCGTCAATTAAATAAGCGCCAGAAACGCGCCCCATTCGATAAACTCGAAGTTCGGGGAGTCACACGCGAGGAAACTTAACCAATTTTGAAAAATACGGCCCCAAAAACAACACTTGAAAGTTCGTTCGGAAAAGCGGAGCCAGATGGCGCTTCAGCGCTAGAAAGTTGAAGACGTAACCTTGGAACAGCTGTGGCCAATCACAGTGCGCTGTTATCGCGCGCTTTTCAATTTGCGTTTACAACTTTTGGGAAAATTTGTTCAATAAACAGGATTTTATGGGGTTTGTTTTAGCGATACGGTTCAAAGATGCGTAATTCGCTGAAAAATACGATAAGCTTGGGTAAACACGTGCCGAGGTCCCCACTCACAACGTTAAATATTTTCAATGCGAAATAACCTTCGATTCAGTAATATTGCACAAATTGCTTTAAATAATGCGTGTTACTTGAAGCTTGTTAACCCCTGAATAGGCGAAATCGCTGACTGATGCTGTGATGTAATAAAACGTCCGAAAAACAGAGGTCATGTTACTTTGCTGTGTCTCCAAGTGTGGCTATTGGTACTTAATTTAAACCGAAAGCACCGCGATGAACGATTGGTTCAAAATTTCGCTCCTCTTATCAATTTTTGGCTTCTTGAAGGAAATCAGGCCGTCGGAACCCTTCGTCTACGAGTTCCTGGTGGGTCCTTGGAGGAATGTCAGCAAAGAGGAAGTCACCGAACAAGTCTATCCTGTGGGAACATACAGTTACTTAGCCCAATCGATTGTGGCCTTCCTCATCACCGATTTGTGCAGGTACAAACCCCTCATCGTCCTGTTGGGACTCTCGGGGGTGCTGGTATGGAGCATGCTTCTGTGGACCAAGAGCCTCCTCGAACTACAAGTCCTTGAGGTAAGACCCGTCAACCGTGAAGTTCACTTTCAAGTTTACCGCCAATTTGACAAATATAACATAACCTCAAATATAGAAAAAAAAAAAAATACAAAAAAACTGATTTAGCGCCGAGGGATTACTCTAACCCAAATACAAATGATAACATTGATAACTGGAATACTACTACCACTGACTAATACCGTTTTTATTGAAAAAAAAAAGGTTAAAAAAATTACATAACCTCAATTTAAAAAATACCCTACAATTTTTTACAAGGGGCTAAAGCCAATTAGAGGGGTTGCTTTGGGTTAAAGGCATCAAAAAAGTCTGCAATTGTAATAATTGAGGCAACAATTTTTTTTTATTGAAAAAAAGAAACCTAACAATTACATAACCTCAAACAATTTCTTTCTACTTCTTCTAAATTTGTGTTAAAGCAAATCCGTCCGCGGGTCTAATTGCAAATAGTGTTACCATGTTATAATTTTAATTAAAATATGCAAAAAAAAGGCCCCAAACTTAACATGTTACATAACCTTACATTTACATATTTTATGTAAATAAACCAATAAGCCGCTAATCGAATATATTTATTTAAATTGAGACTAATTTGTGTCCAGAATAGGGCATTATAATGAAGAGAGAGCCCCCATTGTACATGTGGAAATTTCCCAAGTGATTTAATTTTGAATCCTAAGGTCTTTTATGGGACTTTTATGGCGACGGAAGTGGCGTACTACACGTACATCTACGCCAAAGTCCCCAAAGACTTCTACCAGCAAGTGACTTCGCACACTCGGGCTGCCATCCTCGCGGGGCGCGCCATTTCGGGGATCATCGCCCAATTGCTCATCTCCCTCGAGAGCGCCAACTACCGCGACTTGAACTACATCACCTTCTCGTCAATGTTGGCAGCCACCATCTGGAGCCTCTTCCTGCCTTCCGTCCGCAAAACCATCTACTTCCACCGCGAAATCGACTACGAGGAGCGCTACTCGCGCAAATTCCTCAACGCCTTCACTCTCATGAAAACCCACCTCGTGGAGTCCTTCTCGAACCGCTACGTCCTGAAATGGTCCTTCTGGTGGGCCCTCTCCACGTGCGGCTTCATCCAAGTTCAATGCTACATGCAAGTGTTGTGGAACACGATCCAAGACGACGCAACCATTCCCATTTACAACGGGGCTGTCGAGTCGGTCCTCACCGTTTTGGGGTTCATCGGGGCGCTGCTAGCGGGGGTTCTGAGGGTTGATTGGAAAATGAAAGGCGAGTTGGCTCTCACACTTTGCTCGCTAATGAGTGGATTTATCCTCTTGTACACCTCGCGCACCAAATACGTCATTTTGAGTTATATTTGTTATATCGCTTTTGGGGGGCTTTACCATTTTATGATCACTATAGCTAGTGCAGAAATCGCGAAATGCATCAAGGAGGATAGTTATGGGCTTGTCTTTGGGATTAATACGTTTGTAGCGTTGGCGTTTCAGTCGATTTTGACAGCGGTCGTAGTCACGCAAGGGGTGGGCTTCGCCCTAGGGCCCCGAAATCAGTATTTCGTCTATGGGGTTTACCATATTGCTATCAGTGTGATATACATCGCTATCGGACTAGCGAGTTGGCTCAGCTCAAAGAGAGATTATAGAAAAGCAGATAGCTAGATTTCACTAGGTCTCAAATCTTAATAGTCAGTATTAAATATTGTTTTTATTTGTTAATTAATAAAAGACTGTTTTCGAGTTTTTTATTTTTGTTGTAGAAATTAAAAAAAAACAATTTTTTATAAAAACTTAATAGTAAAACAGTGGCCTGTGACTTTGTAATTAAATTAGCAACGCTGTTTCAATGCTGCCAACTTAATTTCCAGGTCACTATTTTTTTAATTTACACTGGGCGGCAAATACAGAAATAAAAATATTGTTTCAATATTGCCAACTTATTTGTCAGGTTACTATAAAAACTTAATTAATAGTAAAACAGTGTCCTGTGACTTTGTAATTAAATTAGCAACGCTGTTTCAATGCTGCCAACTTAATTTCCAGGTCACAATTTTTTTAATTTACACTGGGCGACAAATACAGAAATAAAAATATTGTTTCAATATTGCCAACTTATTTGTCAGGTTACTATTTTTTAACTCACAAGATTATTAAAAAATAATTAGTGACCTGTGATTCTGCAAATCAGTGGCAACGCTGTTTCAATGTTGCCAACTTAACTCCCATGTCACTATTTTTACTTACAATCTAATGGGCGGTAAATAGAACAATTTCCTCAACGTGGATTCCTTTTCTGGTACCATGGCGACCTCGTCCTTGACTTGGCACCACTTTTTGCTACTCACGTCCCCAATGACACTCGTACAGATATCATCAAAGTGGTATTTGTCCCCCAATTGTTTCATTTTATCACACAGGGATTGGATAAACCACGAGCCTGTTTTCTTGTTCCTTATTGCACCGTATCCCGGAACTGTGGCCCAGAAAGTGAACAAATCTGCGATTGGGGGCACCGACTCTTTTACAGGTGACGACGTGGGGCCATCTGTCTCATAATCATCATCTGATTTGACTAAAAATCGATTTTAGTTAGTTATTAAACAATCAAGGACATTACTTTTTTGACATCTAGTGCCTTGGCAAGACTGGAGGATTAAAACTTTGGGTTTCCCCGATAAACATGGACGATTTTTGGTACACATCACACGTTTGATTGTTTTCACGTCGACTTGACAACTATTAACGCCGTAAACGACTCCCACATCACCGTGAGACATGATACAAATGAAAAGACTCGATTCGGTGTTGACAGATTTTACCACTTGTTCGATTTTTTCGAGCATTTGCAAGTGGGTGAGATCATTTACGACAAGAGTTTTGAAACCGAATTGTTTGAAAGTGGTTTCAAGCTTGTCTCTATCGTATTGTGTACCAATTCTAGGTTCCAGTTTATTGTCTTGACGTGGAAGCAAATCCTGTTAAAAAAAATTGTTTAAATAAATAAAACAAACCTCACAACTCACTCGATATCGTTGGTCAACTTCTCTGTAGAAATTCTCTTGATTGATGATTAAGCAAATGCCTGGTTTTTGGGGGTCAATAAAATATTTGTTGGCATCACTGACAAAAGCAGCGTTGTCAGCACTGATATGAGACGTTTCCAATGACGCAAGACTTTGCAAACTGGAGCGTGGATTTAAAATCTCCTCAAAGACATTAACTGATTGTCTTTTTTCTTCGCTCTCACTGCAATCTACTCTTTTCTCACTTGGGACAATTTCCTTCAGTTTATCACAAATATCCAACTGATCAATTTGCTTGAGAGCTCGACATAAATTGCTCAAATCGTCCAGTTTTACGTACTCCACAATTTCCCAATGTAGTAAATACAGTTCCAGGAATTGCGTATTGATGCATTTGAAATCAAATCCTTTGTCCCTGAAGTCTTTACACACTAAATTGAGTAAACTAGCAACGTCTTTCTGCTGCAAAGCCTCGCAGACGAAATACAGCGCTTTTCGGACTTTGTTAACATAAGCGTGAGTGAAAATATGATGTGGTAAAAACCGGGCGGTTAGGTCTTCCCGTTTGAAGCCCAAACTTGAGATAATTTGGTAGTTTTGGATGATGCAAAGTGCCTCGACTAGCTTTTCTTGCCATTTTTGAGCGGTTGCGTTTTCGTGAATCGCCCAATTAAACAAAAGCTTGTCGTGGGAGCCTTGGAGCAAGCTTGTTAGTTGATCAAACGCTGATTTTGGGTCTTCGTAAAGCAAAAAGACAAGGGCGACCTAAAACAGCCATTATGCACCCCAAGGGAAGCATTTTACGTTTTTGTTACTTTTTCGTAGTCGTCCAAATCGTTTTCAATTGACATTACTTGGTCCAAATTTAGTGTTATTGGCATTGCTGGGTGGGATAAAACCGAATCTGTGGTGTCAGTAGAATCCAAACAAATGTCTTCATCTTCATCTGAAATGTCAGACAAATAAGTGAGGTTATGTAATCCTTGCGTTGACATTTAGAGATAAACAAAATTACCACTGATGGGTTGATTGCATGAGACTTCGTTACCGTCATCTTCGGAACATGAATCGTCATCGGAATAATCGTCTGCTCGACTTGAAAATGATGCACCCATTATTATCGATGATCTTTAATAACAATTAACTGAATTATCAGTAAAACACGCAATACGTTAAGGGACTTCCCCGTTGCAGAGTCACCGACAAGAAAAAAGTAGAGCAAAAATCCCCAAATTGGCTAATAAAAGGACATGATCAAAGGGCCGCCGCCACAGATAGGTGAATAAAATTTCAAACGACTTATCGCATATTTATCGAGGACGTCAAGAATTGAGTTTTTATAGTTGATATTTTATAAAAAATGAATAAACCAATAGTAACTTACTAAACGTAGTACGTGATCGTTCAAAACCACATTGAAATGAGCGGTAAACTTGATTTTTTTTGTCAATAATGAATCCGATGCTAAATGTCTTATTTTTATTAGAACTTGGGTACAAGTTTTAATGCGATACAATACAATGTTTGTTATTTGCCTCTTCTTTTACTGTTGATAAAGTCGTTAATTTTTTGTACACAATCCTCTCTCCAGGGATTCCCCTCCAGGTGGACAAAATCCACACTTCTGAAAACTTCGCTCAAGTTTCCTTCCACACATTCCAGTTTATTATGACTCAAATCCACAGTTCCCACTGTTGCATTAGCCAACCATTCCGGATCCAAAACCTCAACTGAATTATTCCCCAAACTAAAATTCACCACTTTCTCCAACCCTATGAAACTTTCCCTTGAAACAGATTTGATGTTATTGCTTTCCAAATCAATACTGTACATTTGAGGATAATTGTGGAAGGCTTTACTCGGTAAAACTTCAATTACGTTATAACCGGTAAAGATATAAGCCAATTTGGGGGAACCCCTCAACCAATTGTTGTCCCATTGAGATAAATTGTTATGGTCGATGTGTAAAACGCTAAGTTGAGGCATGTCGTCGAATGCTTTGGGTTCGATTTTAGAAATTCGGTTGTAGTTTAGCTTCAAAGTGACGAGTTTTGTTTGGGAGAAAACACCTTCAGGGACGTGTTCAAGGGAATTACCGATGAGGTTCAGAGTGTCCAACTGTGGAAGATTTTTCAAGTCTCCCCGATGGAGAGTTTTAATGCGATTGAAACTCAGGTCGAGATATTTCAAGTCAGGGAAATTGAAATCGATTTCGGTTAATTTGTTGTCGCCCAAAACCAAATTTGTCAAATTTGCGATTTTACCTCCGATTTTCCGAAGACCATTGTGGTACAAATTCAAGCTTTCCAAAGACACATTTTCAAAAGTGCCGTCTCGAATTTCGAGAATTTTGTTGTTACTCAAAGTCAGATGGTGAATTTTGAGGTTTTTAAAAGCCCCAGGTTGAAAATTGGATATTTCGTTGTCGGCCAAATTCAAACTCGATAAGTTCAAGCCCGTGAAAGTCCCTTTTTCGATCACTTTTAGCCGATTCCGGTTTAAAGACAAGTGGGCCAAACGGGGCAAATTTTCAAACGCCCCTGGCTTAATTTCTTCCAAACTGATACTTGACGCTGTTAGAGACTTCAAAGTTGGTACACCATTCACCGCTTTTGGGTAAAACACCGGCACAAAACCATGTAAAATCACCGAAATTTCCCCTTGATGCTCAGGGATGGAGTCTCGGAGGTTGGCCGATGATGAAACGGTTGTAGTGTTACTACCCGTGCTTGTTTTCCATTCTAGTGTCAAATTTTGAAAAGAAATCGCTTCAGGATTCGTGGCACTGATCAAAAATAAAGAAATCAAATATGTTTTTAACATTATTACAGTGGTTCGAAAACTGGATGTTTTTATCAGTGATGAGAATCTAAATACAATTTGCAAGGTCAACTGGTCATCTTTATCGATGAAGAGAGTGTAAATAAAGTTTACAAGGTCAAAAAAATTACCTTACATTTGGCGCACAATTTGAAAATCGTGTTAGTAAATTTAGGCATTGTAGGTTGGTACCACGAGCAAATTTATTATTAATTTGAGACTTATCACCCAGTTACAATATAGTCAAAACTCCAGTATTTTTCCCCAAGTGAGTCCCTCCCAGCCCCCAAGCCCTTTTAACCTCAAATTCAAACGATAGTAGGTTTTGGGGTTAGAGGTTGGTACCGCGAGCAAAATTCTAAAATTGACACCTGTCACAATGTCGAAACTCCAGTAATTCCCCCCCAAGTAAGTCCCTCCCATCCCCCAAGCGCCCCTAACCCCAAATTCCAGATCATGGCAAACGGCTCAACCCGCCGCATTCTCGTTGAAACGAAAAACCTGGCCAAAGACCCTCCCCCGGGTATTAGCGCCATCCCCGACGACGACAATTGCCGTTACTTCCACATTGTCATGGCTGGGCCTCAGGGATCCCCCTACGAAGGCGGTCTCTTCCGCCTCGAGCTTTTCCTCCCCGAAAACTACCCCCTATCGCCCCCAAACGTCCGATTCCTCACCAAAATCTACCACCCCAATATCGACAAACTGGGGCGCATTTGTCTGGATATTCTGAAAGAGCAGTGGTCACCGGCCTTGCAAGTCCGGACTGTTTTGCTCTCGATTCAAGCCTTGCTCAGCAGCCCCAATCCCGACGACCCCTTGGCCAACGACGTGGCCTACACGTGGAAAACGAGGACCAGTGAAGCCATCATCAGGGCCAAGGACTGGACCAGGATTTATGCAATGGAGTGACTTTTTTATATTCAGACATTTTTAGTGTTGTTTCTGATTATTTCATTTGGGGAAGGCTGAAATATAGCGAAGCTGAAGTAATATCAGTATATTTTGGAGCTAACAACTCATTACGAATAATACAATAATAGATACATCAGTACAGAGAATAAGACTGGTAACTACAGTAAAACAGTCAGGAGAAATTAAATATTTAAAAATTGAAGTATATACATAGATTGTAAACACAATAGCCTACCAAGATCTTTACGTATTATAGGTTAATAATACCTAAAAACCTTGACTGAAAAATAGTATCACATCAGTTATTGCTTATGCGGCACTATTACCAACAAAACTTGATTTTTGATTAAATTAACACACAAAAAGCACAGTGAGAAACACCAGACATGCAACACGAAAGGAACTTTTTTCCTAAGATACAATAAACTTACACATGAGTCAAACATTCAGTAAATAAAAATACATCGTTGCTTAGAAATTGACTAAAGTTGCAAGAATAAACGGAGGGGAACCCCCTTAACAAGCGATGTGACGTGACCAATGTAGCGGTACAAAATTTTCAACACTCTAAACCTACCTATCCAACCACCAACAATCTTGATTTCTAATGATATGATTCGGGACATGAGCACATCGAGTTAATAAATTATTTAAAAAAACACAACAAATTAACGATTTTTCGACTTCAAGAGCACCATGCAATCGATGGAAATGTCAAAAAGTGAATAATATCAATGCTGACTTGGTCAAACAAAATATCGGCACATTACGTATGTAATAAATATTAAAAACATCTAATAATAATTAAAAAAAAGAATAATGGAGATTGTTACCTTTGGTACTTTGCTACCTTTACATTATATACATAAAGAACATATATATACAATAATTATTCTTAAAATACGGCAAATAATGTCTATTGTACCAAGTATATACTGTAAAATCTACTCTCAACTAAAATTTCTAACACTTAACAAACGACTAGAAACTAGAATTTTTGTCATTCATACGTTATCGGACCGGCGCCGTCTATCTATCTTATCCTTTCTTTGTTTTTCCTTTTCTTCTCGATGGAATGCACGTGACAGTTCTCCAACCAGGTACATCGTCTTATTAAAATATACAATAACAAAAAATTGTAACAAAAATGAGTTGTTTCTTCTCTTAACAAAAATTGAATACTGCGCTTTGTTCGATGATCGATCGATTATCTTCGTATTTTTCAACTCATCTGATCGGTTGCAAAACCGTACACTTCCAGTACGCGAATTTCAAAATCTCCACTCGGACAGAGAGGAGGGTTGTTGAAGGTTTGGCATCGGTCGGTCTTACCGAATCGGATGTTTTCGTCCATCCAAATCGCCTGTCCCTCCCTGAAACGCACAAAATCACTCTTAAATCATTTGTCATTTCTCTTAATTAGCATATCAGATGTTGGAGTGACAAATTAATAAATCGTGAACGATAACCATAATAAAAAATTATCACAGTGTCAATCCAACATCAATTTTCGTTTTGTTGACATTTTCGTTAGTTGTTATCTCACACTTTATAAAAAATACCGTCAATGAAATAAATAAAATTTGTTTAGCTTTAAACTAGAATTAAACTAAAGTTGGTTTGAAACGCGTTCAAGCGTAAATTTATAGCTAATTGTTACGGGCAATAAGTGTGCCAATAAATTAAACCATCTAATAAAATTAAATATAAATTATTATGTCACTTACACTGTATTTTTTTAAATTAATACCAGGTGAGTCAAGTTTTATCAGCACCCCCAAAACACCTCTTTATAATTAAACAAAATTTGCAAAAAATCATTAAATAAAACGACAATTTGTAAGACTTTTAAATTCTTTACTTGTACAGTTGCGGAATTAAAATTTGGGACAGTATTTTCCTGTCACTTTAAAAAGTTCACTGTAAACTACCTTCTACTGTCATCATAACTGAGATTTGACAATTAAACTTTTTTGTTGTTGTTATAATTGTTAATTAAATGTATTAGAAAATTTATTAATTGAACTAAATGTAATTAAATCGTCGCTTTGATCTGCTGCCTACCCGTTATTATGTCACAAATCACTATTTTTGAAAGTAAATAAGTCAAAATGACATAAACATGACAAGAGTTAAAAATGAGGTTATTAATGTAAAGGTTGTTTTAGAATTTACATTATGAAAATGACAATACTGCCCGAAATTTTTACAAAGTATCGGTCAAGTTTACCGCAAATAACACGAAAATTTCAGGCTTTCAGAAAAAACTGATACTATTTTGTTTTCTTGTGGTAAAAATAGTAAACGAAATATGAGTTAATTGAAAAATTGTCTTTAGCCAAAAAGTTTTGAATAATGGCAAGCATAAAATTGTGGTAGGTAATGTCATTTTGGAATTTCATCTTTTTGTCAAAAAAAGTGGTTTCCCTGTGTAATTTTGACAAGAGGGTATATTAGGGAATGACATTGAGTACTAAAATTTAATGATCGCCATTGTACATTATTTGTGTGTTAGGTATTTTATAGCGTTTAGTTTTATTAAAGCACTAATTAAATCATCGCTTTGATCTGCTGCCTATCCGTTATTATGCCACAAATCACTATTTTTGAAAGTAAATAAGTAAATAAATAAGTAAAATGACATAAACATGACAAGAGTAAAAAATGAGGTTATTAACGTAAAGGTTGTTTTAGAATTTACATTATGAAAATGACAATATTGTCCGAAATTTTAATTCCGCAACTGTACATTTAGGGTATGTCCGGGAGAGATGGACTAATTTTGGAAAACCTGCTCCAAAATTTTCCTTTATTTCAATTCAAACTACAAATGTTTTCTTATAAAAAACACATTCTTTAAAATACGGTTGGTAAAATTTTAAATTTAAATTAAAAATTAAAATTAAATTTTCAAAATTCAAATTTGTCAGTTACTTTAAATTTTTGAATTTGATTCGCCAAGTTTTTGAAAACAAAAACCGCCAAAATCTTTCTCAAACAATGAACAAATTAAATTAGAGCCATTTGTTTATCTAATTTTTATCACAAGCTGTCATTTTTATGACATTTTATAACACGACGTCCTTGTTTCATTTCACAATTGTTAGCGCTAATAAAACTCTTTACGAGGTACACACTTATTACCCTCTAACAATATACTAATTGATCCGTTAAAAAAACCATAAGATTTTTTTTAAGTAACCATTATAGACTTCTTAATTCGTCCTTGACCACATACCCTCCTCCTATCGTAATCATCTTTGCATCGGCAGCCATAAATAATTCGGCTCCATGTCCCACTTTATCACCCTCAATACCAACCCATTGGTACTTGGCCCTTTCTGGGTACAACGAGAATAGAAACGTTTCGCCGGTGCCGAAATACGCTTGTCGATTACCTCGATCGTCTTTTTGGTTCCTTTCGCCCCAACGAGACGAACAATAGGCACCAAAAACCTACCAAAAACCAAACAATTAACAAAAAAAAAAAAATAAAAATTTAACACACTCACCTCATTGTTGCACGTTTTGATCATGAGCAAAGTCGGTTCGTGATGTTCAACACGGACGTAGAATGTCGTCAACGAACATCCATGTTCTTCTGTCGTATATAACAATATCGGTTGGTACATTGTTATCCTCACTGGTAACCAGGACCATAGTGTTAAGAGCTAAACATCATCAAGGAAACGGTTTCAATCCGGCTCGCTTGGGGGCGCGCAATAAAGACACGATTTTTTCAGTCAACTGCACAGTTTTTACTCCGAAATAAAAATTTTCATTTTCATTTAGACTAAATATGAAATAAAATAGAATATAAAAAACCCTCGCGCTCAATCTAATGTCGGTTGTAAGTCTTAAGTCCTCGGAATAATGAAATAATTTCCATCCAGATTGTAATATACTATTACACTGTATAAAAATGTACATTTTCCCCACCCGGTATGTAATATACTATAACGTCATTTCTGGCAAAGTTTTTGTACCTTTACTGTATTCTTATGCTTATACTTATCGAAAACATTAAATAAAAAAGTCAAAAGTAAAAATCAAAATTTTTTCCATTTTCTTATCTTCTCTTAGTTGACATTTTTCTCTGTCACTTTATATCGGGTGGGGCATCGGTTACATGCACTTGATAAATCGCGACTTCAAATTAATTAAAACTGGCGATATTTCATATACCTAACTAATTATTGATAGGGTATAATTTGAGAATTTTTCTAATTTTTTTGGATAATAAATGAGTCCGTAACAGTTTTGTGTGTTTCATAAATACTTTCTTTTAATTTACTTATAAAGTTTTTACACTAAATGAATCTGTACCTGTCAGCGCATCAAACTTTAATATCACAATTTCAAATTTTGACTTGGTTAATCAAATAATCGCTTTTTTTTATTTAAACACAAACCAGACTCCTGATTTATGACAAAATGGTATAATTTGCCAACAAAAGAATCATTTACTGGTAGTCGACCGCTTTAAAGGGTCTTTTTGTTGCAAACCTTGGAATATTACCCCAATTGCAGTTCCCCATTGTCACCTAAATTTACGATGGCACTAGTAACAGGTCATAAATAAAAATGATTTTCAAAGTTAAGATAGAAAATTGCGTTTAATTCAAAATCTAATTGGTATTTTTTTTTCTGATTTTGTAAACAATTGTAGGAAGTGCATCTGCGTAGGTCAGTATAAAAATTAGAATTAAATTTTTTGGGTGAAAATTACTTTTTATTTTTTTTTGGCTTTGTTTGTGAATGAAAAATTATCAAAAAATTAGAGAATGTATCTTACTAATGCCCAGGTAAGTGTGAAAAAATTCAACAATTTTATTTAATTAGAAGTGGGGATTTTCTTTTTGGGCGTAACAGATGCCCCACCCGGTACTATTACACTGTATAAAAATTTACTGCATTTTTCCCCACTCGTTATGTAATATACTATAACGTCATTTGTGGCAAAGTTATTGTACATTTACTGTATACTTATGCTTATACTTATCGAAAACATTAAATAAAAAAGTCAAAAAGTAAAAATCAAAAATTTTTTTAAACAATTTTTTCAATTTTCTTATCATATCTTACTTGACATTTTTCTCTGTCAGCTTATACTGTGCTGAAAGCCATTTAATTTATATTTTTATCTTTTAAAATGGTGCCTGTTTTTTGAAAATCACCCTATACAGGATGTTCCATTTTTATTGTAACAAATTTAACCAGGTGATAGAATATTCAATTTTAAGATAAAAGTTTCCTATAAACATATATCGAAAAATTTTATATAAGGGAGCCACATCTCCTGAAAAGGGTGCATCTTTTAATGGATTTTTTCCAATATTTCAGTAACCATCGTGGATAAAATTACAAAATTTGGTACAACTGATAACCTTTATACACCCAAATGAATTCAAAGATAAAATGTCGAAATTTTTACTCAGTGGCGTCTTGGGTAAAAAGTACCGTAACTATTTTGGCGGTTGGTTTTTGCCACTTTCAGCCACAAAATTTTAAATTTCGTAGTTTTTCACAAAAAATAGGTCTCTTTCGTTTTTTCGCTAAAACTTACCGTTTTTGAGTAAAATCAGTTTACAATTTGTCTTACAGACTATAAGGAAGATAAAAATTAAAAATTAAATTTGTTTCACCCTTTAAGAGACGCGTGATTAAAAATTTCGACAACTGATCTTTAAATTCTTTCAGGTGTTTAAAAGTAATCAGCTGTACCAACTCTTGTAATTTTATCTATTCTGCAATAGTGGGAAAACCCCATTAAAAACGCATCTCTTTCGAGGGGTGTAGCTCGCTTACGTAACATTTTTTGATACATGTTCATAGGAAACTTTTGTTTTAAAATTGAATATTCTATCACCTGTTTAAGTTTGTAACAATAAAAACGGAACACCCTGTATTTAAGAAAATGAGAATGCAATTGAAAATTTTTCCATGTGGGCTTGTTTCGCCTATTGCAACACATTAGAAAATCACCGTCCGGTATCAAATTTCTCCTCGACCGAATAATAATGCAACAAACAGCCCCAGGTGATCAATGACAAAACCCACCATTCGAAAGGGGGTTAAAACAATTAGGTTATCCAACTTGTTACATAATCCTGGTGATCCAAAACGTCCAAAAATACCGTCGAATATTCTCGACGCTCTAATTTCACTCACACAAAAAAAAATTGTCTTAATTACGACCAGTCAGTCGGTGCAGTTAACTGTAAAAACTTTACTGCGCGCTTTAACACCAATCAATATTAAAATCAAAAAAAAAAAAAATAAAGTGAGAAAACCAAAATTTTAAACAACTAGTGGTTGCATAACAAACGTGCTATTAGTAACATAACAAAAGCTGTTAATGGATTGCAAGCAAATAATGTTCGACATATGATAACGATTTGTGTATAAATGTTTCGAAAAAAAATTTGGGGACCTTTCGTGCATCGAAGGGTTTATAATTAACACCAGGATTTAATTATAAACTTGCTCCGAAATATTAACCTATTTCGCATTGTTAAATAAATAAACAAAACAAGGAAGAAAATGCCAACTGACATGAATTGGAAATTGTTTAATGACACGACTTTTACCACTGGTTTTCCTTTTCTCTTCTTTGCCCCATCCATTGACAGCTATAATTAATAGTTATTTATGTATTAAGGGAAAAAATATTGTAGATAATGCCAGAGGCTACCGAAGAGAGCCGAGGGCATTTTCATTCGAGGGATTCAACTGCAATTTTAAGATTAAAATTTTATATACAGGCTGTATTATGAAAAACACCCCAAGCCATAACTCCATTATTTTTAAAGTTATGACAATATTTCTTAGAACAAAGTTGAACATTTTTTGTCATCTATCGTTTGGGATAAATGCTAAATTAATGCTGTTTTCTGTTTCATCGGAAATCAAATCAACTTTATTTTTTTAAATGGAACAGCCTGTATATGTACCACTTTTGGATTCTTTGTTTAATTGTCTTTTAACAAGTTTTAGTACCACATGCCTAAAACTAACAGTTCGTGAGATATTCACCAAATAATGTATTTATTAAAGTAGGCAGTGGAAAACAATAATATCAAGTAATGTTGACAAATATTATTCTTTTGCATTTTCTCTTATTGTTTTATGCTTTTTAATGTTAATCATGGATAATAATGTGTTAACAGACATATTCTGAATAAAATAAAAATTGTGGGAGAGCACTACGCTTTTACACTGGGTGATTTCTGATGAGAGACGTTCCAAATCGCCGAAAATTTAAGCGACTTAAAGAAAATTTCAGGATGTTTTGGGCTTTTAGAAAACCCAAATTAAAACATCTTTAATTTCAAAGAGATACAGAATTAGATAGGTATTGAAGAAAACGCAAGAACATGAATTCAAGAAATTGCAAGTAACGTTGGCTTATCGCACGCAGCTGTTCAAATTTGGGTTTTCTAAAAACCCCAAACATCCTCAAATTTTCTTCAGGTCGACGAATTGGAACTTCTTTTATTGGAAATCGCCCAGTGTAAAGGCGTTGTGGTCTCCAACTATTTTTATTGCTTTCAAAATATTCTTGAATCATGTCTGTTAACACATTATCACCAGAACACCAAAAAGTATAAAAATAATAAGAGAAAATGCAAAGTAATAATATTTGTCAACATTACTTAATATTATTGTTTTCCACTGCCTACTTTAATAAATTTTTAATTGACTCATATCTCACGGAGGGTTGGTTTTAGGCACATGGTACTTGTTAAAAGACAATTAAACAAAGAATCCAAAAGTGGTAAAATATACAGGGTGTTTCATTAAAAAAAAATAAAGTTGATGTGATTTCCGGTGAAACAGAAAACAGCATTAATTTAGCATCTATCTTAAACGATAGATGGCAAAAAAAATTCAACTTTGTTCTAAGAAGTATTGTCATAACTTTAAAAATAATGGAGTTATGGCTTGGGGCGTTTTTCATAATACAGCCTGTATATTCCGTGTTGGGAGAAAAAGTTTCTTTTTTTTTAATCGATGCATAAAAGGTCCTTCATTTTGATAAGCACAATTTTACGTTTCCGAGAGGACAGAAAAACCACGAACTTACATCCTGGTGGTCGAGAATGCGCGAGTTGATATTCTGTATGGGGTAGATACCCATGGAGAGCGTTCGAGGACCTGGTGAGTGTGCTCCCTTTATTAGCAGCAGCAGAAAACAACCAACACAATAACACAACTACTTAATTTTTTTCAAACAGGTAAGAAAAACCACCAACATTGAACGAAAAATAATAAAAAAGAGGAAACAAAAATATGTAACACATATCTAGAGAGAAAATAAATTCCAACTGGCTTTTCATTCATGTCCAACCAGATTCGAACAAAAGAACCAATTTAAAAACAATACCAACAGAAAATAACAACACAATTATTTTTAATTGAGTCCTGCTGAAGGTTCTCAATGTCAATGCTGAATGAAGGGATCGATCGAGCAATTTGGACTTTTTCCAGAGGAAATTGAGATCGGAAAGTTCAAAGCTCCGGATTAAATAAAAGAACACAATAAAACTTTCCAAAAAGGTGGATTTCCACGCATAAAAACCTTGTTAATAAACAGTGCGGATTCCACCCGAACCGAAAACGTGTGGAACGCAAACAAATTCATAAACTTTCGCAAAACATACAGCTTAAATCTATTTAAAGAAACGACTTAAGAAGACTCATCTGTTTAGTCTTAGAACACATGCAAAATCTTTCTGAATTTAATTACACACACACAAGTAAAAAAGCACTAAATCAAATAAAAATTAAAAAAAAATACACCGTGTCGAGGAATGTAACAATGAAAATGGGCATGATTGTAAATGCATTTTAGTCATTAGTGAAATTAGTGCAAAATGTCGTTCGATGAATTTCTGTTATCTTAGAGGAATGGCTATCTCGGCTATAATTCAAGTAGGATTTAATGTGATAACACAGCCGAAATGGCCCTTCAGGCACGAATGACATGGAACATGTAAACAAGACAAAAATGTTTTGCATACTTTAGAAAAATCGAATAATACAATACCATTTCATTGTACATCTCTTCGGACATTCTCTGAAATGCAAAGTAATGTCTCTACACTAGTGCCGTAAATTAAAAAAAGTACAAAAAAATATACATAAAACGACCACACGTGACCTGTTGAAATGTCACCAGTGGTCGCAGTCAAATTCAATTATTAAATATCTAGGCCAAAAATAGCCACACGAAATCCTTTAACTATTAATAAAATGATTGTTTTTAATGGCTAAAGGATATTGGTTTGTTGTTTCAAAGGCTTTTTATTATCACGTGTTGCTAAAATAATTTTACGTCGAAGCGTGCTCTCTCTGATGATCGAATCGTAACTGCATTAAAATAATAATCGAAATAAATTTGCAAGTGTAAAATAAAAATAAATTGTGAGCTTTTTAATTAAGACTGGAACATACTTAAATTTATTACGCAAAATGGCGCTCAGTTTTACCAGCTCAAAAAAATAAAATCCACTAGATCTGAGTTGAAAAAAATTGCCTTTACACATATTTTCACCAGATTACACAAGATTACATTTACTTGAAAGCTTACACTTTTTTTACATACACTGCGTGGTTACAGCTTACAAATTAGATAAAAATATAATATATTTTTAATCCATAAACGTCACAAAAGTGACAACTTTTATGACCAAAAGTCACAAGCAAAAGTTTTACCTTTCAGGCATTTTTATTTATTTATTTACTTATTTATTTATTTCAAACGCTCACAAACAATTTATAATACTCGGTGTAGCAAAATCTCGTGAAAAATGGTGTTTTCGGCCTAAAAATCTTCTTACACTATGGAAAAAAGTAAAAATGACAAAATTTTTGAACTAATCCTGTAACTTGTCGGTTCATTTTTAACAAAATTTTGCGAAATAATTGCGTTTCTCACTGAAAAACGTGCTAAAACGGTAAAAAAATGAAAAAAAAAATTGAATTAACTTGTTAATTTTTCGATTTGTTTTAGAAAAAATCTCGCAAAAAACCTAAGATTTTAGTACAAAAACGTGCTTATAAATCCATCTTTAACGAAATTTTTGACTTACTTTTGCTTTTAAAAACCAGTTAAATCAAGTAAAACATCCAAAATAACATCAATATCAATTTTTTTTGTGACTTTTAGGAGTATCTAGACAAGATTTTGCAAAATACATAAGTTTTTGGTTCACAAAATAAGTAAAGCCAAACATGCTGAAAATTTCGATTTAATTTTGTAATTTTTTTAGTCTGTTTAAACAAAATAGTTCAAAAAGGTTTTATTTTATCTCAAAAACGTATTTAAACACTCCACAAAGGCAAAAATAACACCATTTTTGGCCAATTTTATGGTGTTTCAATTATTTTTTTCACAAATTTTTCTGATAGAAAAACGTAGAATACGCTCGAAAAAGATGTATAAATAGTATCCATTTATTTTTGACTTAATTTACTATATCAGTAATTCAAATTAGTGTTTCACCAAATCACTAAACTATCATGAAAATTACCAGATTTGGTAAAATTTCACGACACTTGGCAACACTGATAGGAGATCGAAAAGCTTGTAATTTTTTGTAAATTTGTCTTAACAAAATTAAAAATTTTAAACACAATTATTCAGAAATAAAAGCATTCGTTAGAGTCGAATTCAAAACCGTGATAATTCTATTTTTGCCCACTGTTTACATATTTTTATTGGCTTTATTTATATTATTTTGCTAAACTATTGACTTTTTATTGTTTATTTTTGTTATCTATTTTTTTCAACTAGTTCCTGTCGAAATTTTTCCACTGTTCCATCTTACTTTAAATTCTCTAGTAGCGATAAAATGAAATTCAAGAAACTTTATTGTAATATTTAATGCAGTTCGTGCGACTTCTCGATAAAATAATTGATTTTCTTAACTCTGTAACGAGTTTTAAAAAATTAACATAGAAATGAAGCTAAAATTAGGTCATGTGGATCAATTTCAGTTGCACGCTTTGACGCTTTAAAACTAGGTGTTGTTATTGTGTTAAAAAACAATGCACTAAATTATTTCAAAAAAACAGAAAAAAAATATATACAAAAGACCATAACCGAAGTTAAATAAAAGAGAAACAATCACCATATAAAAAAAAGCAAAAACAATAATATACCATCTCGATTCTCGTCCTATAAATCGATTAGTCTTAACTATTGAGAAAAACAAAAAGACTCACCTCTCGGATGGTGAGTGTATGCGACACCATCTGGATGTTGTTCTGGCTTTGGCTATTGGGAAGATTTTCACTTGATCGTGATCGTACCAATTGTCGTGATCCATTTATCACATTTTTGCTTTTGAGGACCATTTCGGTCCTGATAAAAACCCTTGAAATGTAAGCCGAACTCAGACCACGAATGCCGAATGCGACTTTTAACACTTTCTGCGGCGTCACCGGCATTTCCTTGCAGAATTTATTCAACGCCGAATCTATGCCATTCTTCTGGATCTCCATTAACCATTCGGAAGACGGCGACGATGAGGATTTGTGAAAGAGAATCAGAATTGCCATCGCCGTCCTGTACAAGACCTGCAAACAACGAAATGTTATAATTATATACTTCGGATATTCAAAATTTATCTTGTTTTCTCCACTAGAAGCCAGTTGGCACTAGACAAAAATATTTTTTTTGACACTAACAAGACTAAAATAAATCCCAATTTATTGTTTTCTTTAATACAGAAAAAAGCAACTACTAGATGTGCCATTCGTAATCTTTCGAGTGTTGGAGATGATTCCAACCATTAGAGAAAGAAAGAAAAAGAAATTACCCTTGCTTACAGTCACGTGAGGTATGGCAAAGTAAGTATTCAAAATAATTATATTAAATTTTTCATTTATTTTAAACTTTTTTGGACTTTTGCTCGATTTTAATATCTTACAAATACACTACAGTATTTTTATTAATAATTTCAATTTGATTTTTATGATAGGCATTAAAACACAAACAAATTAAATTACGAATATTTTTTTATTTCTTTCTATTTTAGTAATAGTGGTGGTATTAAGTAAGGCTATCTTCTTTTCACCGTTGTATTTTTAGGTAATAAATGAGCTAGTAGTAAAAAAAATATACAGGGTGTCCCAGCGAGTTGAAAAAGTCCATTAATGACCTTTAAATAGTAAAATTTAAAAAAATTGTATAAGACATTGTGATAGATACGAATTTAGTGCATCACCTAAAACTATTTTCAACTATACAGCATGTCACAAAAATAAGTTACGAGACAAACATGTGTTTTTTTTTAATGAAACACCGTATGTTTCTTTGCATTTTCAGATGTAGCCTTTTAAAACAATGTTTTTACGCTAAACTTTTATTTGTCTATTTCGCTTAGTTTTAGAAATAAGACGTTTTTTTGACCACATGCAATTTTTAAAAAATTATTACACAAAAACTAAGACAGCGAGAACAAATTTTTTCTTACTTCTGTAAAGAAGAAAGTACATAATTTAAAGCTGTAGCAATTTTTTTGTGTTTTGCATTTGAAAAGATTAATAAATTAGGAAGTTTGTTAAAAGTTAAATAACTTAAAAAAATAAATGCAACACCCTATTTTTTTTGCATCTAATAGATTGATAAATTGTCTACCTAAAAAAATAAATTTTTAATGTCTAGAATTGATAAATGAAAAGATATTTAACATTCCATATTAATTGTAGCAACAATGCCTATCAATATCTGGGCATTGTTAATACTATGGCAACGTTGATTTATCCAGAAATGGTAAAAGTCGTTATAAATACTGAAATTCGAATGATTTTATTGTAAAAATAAAGAATAATGGATTCATTAATACAAATGTGATTATTAAGTGCTATTTCTTCCATCTCTTGTGCAATTGTGCACTTTTTGGCTACTGAAACAATAGTAATTATTTTTAATGTTTAAAGTTAAATATTTTTTAGTTATTAATTAAAAGTAAATAATTTTAGAAAGAAAATTTAATAATCTTTTAAATGCAAAAACAATAAATAGGGTGTATCATTTAAATTTTTTAAGTTATTGAACTTTTAACAAACGCCTTCATTTTTTTTATCTTTGCAAATGCAACACACTAAAAAAATGTTACAATCGTATACCTTGTACCTTCTTCTTTGCGGTAGTAAAAAAAAATTTCTAGATGTCTTAGTTTTTGTGTAAGGAATTTTTAAAAAATGCATGTTTTCGTCAAAAAACCGTCTAATTTTTAAAACTAAGCAAAATCGACCAATAAAAGTTTAGCTTAAAAACACTGTCATAAAAATCTACATCCAAAAGCGCTAAGAAACATATAGTGTTTCATTAAAAACACAAGTTTGTATTGTAACTTATTTTTGAGACACGCTGTATAGTTGAAAATAATTTTAGGCGATGGACTAGATTAGTATCTATCAATGTCCTATATAATTTTTTTTTTAATTTTACCATTTAAAGGACTTTTTCAACTCGCTGGGATAACCTGTATATCAAATTTTTATTGCCCTCGATGCGTAATAAAAAGCTGGGCTATAAAAATCTCTTCTCTGACTTATAATATAATATACTATTCTAAAATTCACAAAACAAAACAAAAACTGCTATATACCTACTTGCTAATTAGCTATCTCTGTCTCTTTCTTTTTTATGTAGAGGTCAATAGATCTCACTCTAAGGCGCATCTAGTAGAGTTTAATACTGAAAGATCATTCTCCCACATAATTCTCCCCCCATAAATTCTACAAAATATTTACTAATCGGTGTGAGTTTTAGTCCCCAGGGGCGGATCCAGAAATTATTTTTTTTTTGGGAGGGGCTTTCTAAATTTTTTTAGTATGATAAGTGTTAGGTGTAAGATGAAACCTTTACTTTGGTATATGTATCCAGTGAGCGGCAAAATTATGGAATGATCTTATTTATTAAAACTGAAAATGTTTTGTTTTGACAAAAATGCTCGAACAAGTCAATTTAAATTTAACTTAATTTAAAATTGTATCTTAGTTTTTTATTGAATTTATTTCAATTTATAAATGATTTTTTTTTTGAAAACTTTATGTAATACATAATATTTTGGTGTTGTCACTTCGATAATCAAAGGATCTATCGAATTCGCTAAAAAAAATAGGGATTTTCATTAAAAAAAATATCGATGACGTCATTACTCAAAAATCAATGTAAAATTTTAAATCAAGTTGAAAATTGTGTATTTTTTAAAAAGAAAATTGACCTGTTCGAACATTCTTTCCAAAACAAAATATTTTCAGTTTTAATAATTCATAATTTTGCCGCTCACTGGATAAGGTGTCCTAGAATAGCGAGTTGGTAAAGTTCATTATTCAAACATACACGAATTTAATTTAATTAGATACTTAAGATATGGCCCAAAAAAGTTACAATTGATGATTTCTTTTTAAATTAGTAAAAAGTAAGTAAGTATCGAGAGATCAAAATAATTTGTAATCGACTCGTCCTTGGATCTGAAAACGTATGTCCTGTGCGTATGCCTGTGAAACGTCAAATAAAATGATAAGTCGAAAGGTAAAAATGACATGATCAAAAAGATGACGATTATAATAACTAAATTTATGATTTGCTATGCCGCGAGCCCCCCCATAATTTCTACAAAACATTTTCGAATTCGCTAAAATTCGACCACAGTTTCTAGTTATTTCAACTACTCGTCGCGAACAAATCACCAGATTTCATTTTCATCATGTGGTTTAGTAACGCAATTAGAAACACAGTTTCGATTATTTACTGTTCGAACATCAAGTCTGGACGTTTGCCAATCAACACCAAAATTAAACTACATGACAGAAAAAATGCACTATCATAAAAATAGGTGCGAAAAATATGCACAATTCTACCATCCCTTTCTCCTGATTGGTACATTTTTCATATAGTTTATTCACCAAAACAAAGAAAAATCCAATTTTTGCTCACAATCAGCTGTGAAAGTAAACATCAACACAATGCCAAAAAACTTTTCGCTTGGCACCTGACGTCCTACATCACGAGTCCCGGTGTAAATATATTAATAGATGTATCGAACCAAAAAAAAAAAAAAACTTACTTTAATACCCTCATGAAAAAAACAGTCCATCACTCTGACCAAATGCTGGAAGGGAAGACCTTGAAAAATCCACCAAATCCAGTCCATATAAATGCGTTCAGCTCGTGAACTATTGCAATGCCTTTGGAGATGAACAGCGGCGCCTTTCTGAAAAAAAAAATGCAATATTTATTTACACTGTCTGCAGATGATAACAGAAATTCCAAGTTTCTTGTCGGCATAAACAAAATAGCTATTTTTGTAAACAGCCAGTGCCAAATTTTGTGTTAAAAAATAGAAAAAATAAAGTTATTTTGGTAACACATTACAAAAAAATAGTAACAAAAATACCTAATTGATTTATATGTTAGGTTGTGTTTTAAAACAACAAAATGATAATAACGCACAAGTAACGTAAGAAAAATCACGATAAAAGCAGATAAATCTGTCATAAAATGATTTATTTTTCAAACATTTTGTTTCAGATATCGGGGTAATTGCACTGTTGTAGACGTAAATAATAATAAAGTTGTATAAAACCATTGTGCTTTGGTGCACAATATTGCTTTTTTACACACTGCCAGGTGTTAAAATAGTATATTATGTTATTGAGAATAAAAGTGATAGTTTAAAAAGCTGAATGTTTATTTTGCCGCAAGTAAATGAACAAAATAATCAGGATGCTTTGCAATAATATCATAACAAACGTCACGCGTCAGTATCGGTATCTGTGTTGACATTTTCAAAAGTGTTTATTATTTAAACTAGTGCAGTTGGTAGTGTAAAATGTTGATTGCTGATAATCGACAATGAAAAGAGACAATATTGGTAAATGTCATGGTAAAAGTAAAAAAAAAAACACAAACAAATAAACAGAATTTTTAAAACTACTACTTGTGACATTTAGTCATAAAAGTGTCGCTTTTGTGACGTTTGCGAATAAAATACTTTTTTGTAGTACTTTGTAATAATAATTAATTAAGTAATCTTGTTTAAATTTATTATTTTACTGCTAGTTCTTTTAATTATCATTCACGGATATGTAGTAACAATAATGATAGCATTACCAAGAACCGGTCATTATTTCCGTCACAGTTTCTGAATCTTCCTAACATAATTAATGAAAATATTAGTAATACAAGAAACGTTATACACGCATTTGTAATGTAACTACAAACTAGTTCCAGATGGTGTGACTCTTAGTTGGAATTAATCCAAACCTTTATTGTGACATCAAAGATAGAATTTTTTGACCTTCCTGAGTATCACCTAATATTTTCTTCACTGAACAAATTAGATAATAGACAAATGAAGTTTATGGTTTGATGTTTTGAAAACGTCACACCACCGCATACCAAACAATTTAATTTCACTTTAATGCGACGATAATCTTTTGACAACTTCCCTCGAACTCTCCCACAACATCCTGTGTTCTATTAACTTCAATTCTTGCTCCTCTCATTATTTATAAACATTTTCGTTAAACGAAAACGAATAAAAACACGTCAACATGGAATGTTTTCTCATTATTATTTTAACAATAAATTGTTAAAAGCGATAACGACGAAAGACATTAGTAAACAATATAAGTTTCTCGAAATAAACCACTGACGTAGGATGAAGAAGATTCCTCTCCTACACAGTTGTTGTTACAATTACTCGGATTAAAACAGAAAAGACGAATAAATCTCCATTAATAAAGACAGGACGGGGGTCGCCGGAAAAACGTGACACCCGGTGTGAGAAACATTAAACAAAAATGGGGATTTTCTCGAGGAAAAAGTCTCGAGAGCTTTTCGGTGTCGGACTTAATTTACTTCATACTGAGTTTTCCCAACACAACACTCAAAATTTTCTTTTTTCACTTACATTTTACTGTTAATAAAACAGAGTAGCTGCTGAAAATGTATCTAAAAATAACATTTTCTCAAACTTACAGGCAATAAAATCGACATCGCAAAGTGTAATATTTTACAATTAAATAGCCTCAGTTTTAATTAAAATCATTCGATTATTCAAAGCGAACAATTGTAAAGTAATTAACACAATGGTTAATTAGTTTTACAACATGTCTTGTTTACAAATTTACAAATCATAAATTCTCAAAATAAACTCCGAGTTTCGCACATTTGTCATCTCTAGAAATAACAATAAATGTTTCAATACAAAAAAACGTTAATAGGATTCAAAAAAGTTCACCGAACTCATTTTATTTCTTATTTTCTAGAAAAAAAAACAACAATAGTTGCCAACACTTGACCTATTTATTCGCTGAAAATTTTTAAATGTTTACGAATTTTCTGAAAATCATGCATCATCGTGCTTGGCTCGTCGTCAAAATTTCCCCCGGTGAAAAGTGTCAAGATAGGTCATTGTGCAAGCTTATTTATGGTTTTGGTAAGACACACAATCAATCTCACCCAAAAAACGGATTGTTTGCCAAAAAGTTGAAGGTTTTTTTTTTGTTTTCATCAATTTCGTAATCGATGCAGGTGGTATCGTAAAATTCGAATAAATTAAAATCTCAACAAATCATAACCGAAATAAACTAAAGATAATAAATCGATTATTTGCAAGTTTACGTTCCAACGGCGATATTATTTTTAAGATAGTGTTGACCTCCTGGCCATTTTACTTTAACAGTTTTTTTAATGAATTGTTTGCACACCTATACAGGCTGTTTTCTTAATATTGCAGAAAATTGCAACCACTCTTTCTATATCAAAAAATAACACTAACACAAAGCCTGTATATAAAAATACCTCAAGTGGTTTCGGAGGAACTAATGGATTTTAATTTTTGAAATTTTATCACCCTGTATATCCGTAACAAAGCCTTTTGTTTATTTGACAAATTAGTGTTATGTACATAGAATATTATGTGGTTGCAATTTTTCGCAATATTAAGAAAACACCTATATTCACCGATTTTCCAATTTAATATCTTGAATTGAATAAATAATAAATAACCTTTTCCAAAGCAAATCAATAATATTAAAGTGGATATACAGGCTGTCCTAGCGAGTTGAAAAAGTCCATTAGTGACTTTTAAATGGTAAAATTTAAAAAAATTATATAGGACATTGATAGATACTAATCTAGTCCATCGCCTAAAATATTTTCAATTATACAGCGTGTCTCAAAAATAAGTTACAACACAAACTTGTGTTTTTTTTAAATGAAAAACCATTCTTAGCGTTTTTGGATGTAGATTTTTATGACAATGTTTTTACCCTAAACTTTTATTTGTCGATTTCTCTTAGTTTTAAAAACAAGACGGTTTTTTGACGAAAACATGCACTTTTTAAAAATTCATTACACAAAAACTAAGACATCTAGAAATATATTTTTTATTGCCACAAAGAAGAAGGTACAAGCTGTAAGGTTGTCGCATTTTTTTAGTACGTTGCATTTGCAAAGATAAAAAAATGAAGGCGTTTGTTAAAAGTACAATAACTTAAAAAATTTAAATGGAACACCCTATTTATTGTTTTTGCATTTAAAAGATTATTAAATTGTCTTTCTAAAATTATTTACTTTTAGGTGTTTATAATCAATAACTAAAAAGATATTTAACGTTAAACATTAAAAAAAAATAATTACTATTGTTTCAGTAGCCAAAAAGTGCACAGTTGCACAAGAGATGGAAGAAATATCACTTAATAATCACATTTGTGTTAAACTCAATGCATTATTCTTTATTTTTACAATAAAATAATTCGAATTTCAGTATTTATAATGATAATATCTTTTCATTTATCAATTTTGGACTTTAAAAGTTTATTCTTTCAGATAGACAATTTATCAAACTATTAGATGCCAAAATAAAAATAGGGTGTTTCATTAAATTTTTTTAAGTTATTTAACTTTTAACAAACTTCTTAATTTATTGCAAAACACTAAAAAATTGCTAGTTTTAAATTCTGTACTTTTCTCTTTGTAGAAGTAAGAAAAAATTTGTTCTAGCTGTCTTAGTTTTTGTGTATTAAATTTTTAAAAAGTGCATCTTTTCGTCAAAAAAAAACATCTTATTTCTAAAACTAAGCGAAAGCGACAAGTAAAAGTTTAGCGTAAAAAACATTGTTTTAAAAGGCCACATCCAAAAATGCCAAGAAACATACGGTGTTTCATTTAAAAAAACACAAGTTTGTCTTGGAACTCATTTTTGGGACATGCTGTATGGTTGAGAATAATTTTAGGTGATGCACTAGATTACTATCTATCAATGTCGTATACATTTTTTTTTACATTTTACCATTTAAAGGTCATTAATGGACTTTTTCAACTCGCTGGGACAGCCCTGTATAAAAGGATGACATCGGTTTTAAACAAACACATTACTGACGGTGATATAAAATGTTCGAGGGAGTTGATTATCGAAATCGAAATTATCGATGAATTTAAGCCTTGCAACCAAATGTTGATAATTTTCTTGACAAGTTATTCGGGGAATTAAAAAAGTGGTTTCGAACGATGTCCTCTTTATATCTTAGTTCCGGCAGGAAATTTTGTATTAACACTTGTATATTTATAAATATTACAGATTACAATAGTAAATATTACGATAAAAAAATATCATATTACGCACTGCAATGTTAATTTTTAGAATTTATCTCTTTTAGAATTTAAAACTGAAAAATATCATTCTGAAATTTGGCATACTAAACCACTACAATATAAAATTCAATTATTTTATTTCATCTAAAACCAAATACACGTAATTTAGAACGAAATTTCGGTTATAAATCTCTAGTTAATAAGCAACTTATCGGATTATACAAACCGGAAAATTCCAGACGAGCTACTGCATGTTTCAGAGTCAGAAACATCACAAAATCAATGTTCTGATAATAATTTAAAAAATATGTTATGATAAGACAGTAATACAGTAACACGTCCAAATGTAGTGTAACCTTTATACGCAAACAAAAACATTTTTGATGAAAAAAAAAAAAAAACGTGCTGAATTTTCCAAACTTCCGTTATTTTTTCTTCTTTAGTTTGAAAAATTACCACTTATTTTTCTTCTTTCTTATTCACAACAATTTTGCATATTTTCGTCAACTTATTTATTCTCATTTTTCATGTTTTAATGAAAATAATTCAAAAAGCAAAATTGCCAACATTATGCACCACAAATGAATTTGGTAGTGGTACCAATGTTGAAAAACGAGTTTGCAAATAACCAAAGCCAAACTTTCCCCATCGTCAATCTATTGACATTACATTATCAAAAACAAAATTTTCACACCATCCCATTAACGGTGTTAATCTAATTACTTGTATTAATCGGTGCCTGTACCAACCTATCCCCGACTGTGAAAAAAAAAACAAGACGCCTCAACGACCTTCATTGTCATCGAAAGATAAAATATTGACAAAGAGAAATATCAGAATCGATAGTTCAACGAACCTAACCGAAACTATGTCATCAAAAAAAATCTATAGTACTCACCACGTGTTTCTTGCAAATCTGCATCACCGTCTTCCACGTGACTTCATACAAGAGTTTCGTCTGTGTAATAAAGGTTTTTTCCTTGGAGGCCACCAGACTGGCCATGCAATGATAGCATTGTTCTTCTGCAACACACAAAAAGAAAAAAAATCGTTATAATCCGAGCAAGAAAAATTATACGCCTGATACGACGCAATTAATTTACATATGTTGTTGGGAGTAATTAACAAAAATGCAAGTGATGTCACCGACAAGATTATTTTTGCGATGCTAATGGGTAAGAAGAAATTAGAGTGTTAATTGACACACAGTTCGATAGTAATTTTTTATTTTCGAATTCTGGGCTGTTGGTGGAGATTAATCGAGACGCCTACGCCTGTTGTTTGTTGAACGAATTTATTGTTGTTGCGCAAAAATAACATACAGGGTGTTCAGAGATTACGAGCTAATATTTTAACCATATGAAAAGTCAATTTAAAACCCAAACAAATTCCTTATCCAAAATTTTTCAGCCTCAACTTATTTTTTTTTAACTTTACACCCTGTAAAATTGCACAAAAACCGGTACGAAATCTAGTGCATTTCACTTCACTTTTTTAATAATGAAAAACGAGCGATTTAAATTGTCTGAATGATTTAAAATCTGGTAAAGACGAAGATTTTCTCCTGAAAAAAACATAAACTGGCCTTACTTTCAGCCAATTTCGCAATCGATTGATTTTCAAACCTCCACAATTACAAAACGAGACTAACCACTTTCTTAAAGTTTAATAACATTATAAATGCCATATTATTATTGTTTTAATTGCATATCCACTTTACGAAATGAACTAACTTGACATTTAATGAGAAATTTTTGCACTGACTCAGTTCAAGTCAAGGTAAATAATAAGAAAACTCAATTTAGAAGAATCCAAATCTGTTGCACAGAAACACAACATTGCTTCCTGATTGCGTCAGGGTTATTTATCGTGATAATTGTGATAACGTCAATCGATTGAATGATTGATTACACATCATAATTGTGATAATTTTCGTAATACAGGGTGTTTGAATTATTTTATTTATTCATTGAATTTTTATTTTGACGGTGAGACGTCCGTCCACCTGTAGAGAGTTCATCGTTCGCTCAAGGAAGGTCGAACGACAATCGATTTCTTTTATACAAAAAAAAAATTATTATTGATACGAAATTCGTGTTTTATTTATTTTTCATATGCTGTGCTATTACTGACCAGAAATAGAAACGTTTCCGGTCAACAACTTTACTGTAAAAAAATACCGCTCCAATTCTTTTAATTTTACGAAATAATTTTCAAAAATGTCTAATAACTTAGGCTCCCCACCATAGCTAATTCTAAACTATTCAATTCAAACAATAAATTAGCCATTTTATAAAATGTACAATCTTCGAACACGATTTGAAATTATTGTAACACAAAAGTAACTATAAAATATGTAGTTTCGTTGCTGAAATTTAAGCGATGCGAATATGTATCTATCTCGAGCAATTAAATTTAATTATACTGTAATCGTTTATTATTGTAACTAAAAATAAATCGTTCAATAAGCCAAACATGTTACATAAAAAAAACGTAAACAATAATAATTATTTAAAAATGGAACGAAAATAAAGTCATTTAATCCCGACTATAATAAAAAACAGATTTAACAATAGAACCACTGATAAGGTAATACTTTTAGCGCTCATCCGAAATTTAATTGCATTGTGTTTTGCAATGATGAGAACACGCAAGTATTCCAGGAAATACCTCATATGTACCTTCTTGTCACTTTTTCTATGAATCATGATGTTGACGAAGCTTGATCGATTTATTTTATGAAATTCTGAATCACTGAAGAGAAAACGAACAATGACTTTGCATTTATAAATCTCCGTTTTGAGTGTCGTTATTTGCAAGATTTCATTGTTTTGAAACGAAAAAAATACTTATTTATTATGAATAAACAGTTAAACTTTGTATTGGGTGAATCAAATTTTATCAACAAAACACACCATTCTAATAAAACTAAAATTGAACAAAAAATTTTAGGTGATTTTTTCAAGTAGAAAAACATTTCGTACAATTTTTAAATCGTTTACTTGTATAGTTAATTAATTATAATTTAACGTCATCAAAATGACTCTTTAAAAAAATCTAGGAATTTCGTATTTTGATACTTATTTTCTCATGAATTCTTCCATAAACGAGCTTCATCGTATCTGTCATGCGACCATTGTCATAATTTTATTCAAATTCTAACAATTTAATTGAAGAATTAAATATTGATATTGTCATTTAATATCAAATACAGGGTGCGCCAGAACTCGCAACACAACAGAGAAAAATTTCAAGTAAGATGAGATACTAAGAACAGATTTAATTTTTTTAAATTCTGTCAAAAAAATTTGACATTTATTTTTTGTCATTTTTTTATGGCTTTTTAATGATGCTGATGTTCTTGTTTTTTTAGAATAATTTAGTAAAGGTACAAAAATTTTGCCTATAAAGACACAATTTAGAATACACAGCTTCCTTGTTTCCTCTTCTAATAACCTCTAGCAAAAAAACTTGTAAAATTATTTTTGCAACAGAAATAAATAGAGTCAAAGTGTAAAACTTAAACTCTCATAACTTCGAAATTTTTAAATAAAAATTTTTTTACATGTTCCTGGTATCTTAGCTTATATGGCATTTTTCTCTGGGGCGCGAGTTCTGGTGCACTCTGTATACATTGCGTACTTGTAGTTTAAATAGAATATTTTCAGGGGTGCAAATAAAACTTGACACACCTCGTATATTCACGCTTTAATAATAATAATAAAAAACGTTCAGATTAAAATTATTTGACAATTTTTTATGTTTATATTTCATTTCATTTTGAGTTTTTTTTTTTATTATTTACCTATACCCGTACAAAAATTAATTATCAAATGTTATTCCATTAGATAAGAGCTAATTCGTAAAATATCTTATGTAAATAAATGCAAGGTCTTTGATCTTTGCTTTAAATTATGTTAAAAAATTTAATACACAACATATTAAAATGTGACCTCGTTTAGCTTCTTTTTTAAATCTAATTTTTCTATTTATATAAAAATGTTTAATTCTCAATTTTATTTTCTGTAAACCGACTCAACACAGTAAACTGTTCGTACAATACGTGACTTTGAAATTAAATTAAACACCGAATTCAATGTTGCCAATTTAATTTCAAAATCACTTTGATCATCAGCAAATCAAGTAGGTACAGTTGCGGAATTAAAATTTCGGGCAGTATTTTTCTGTCACGTTAAAAAGTTCTTACTGTCATCATGACTGACATTTGACAATTACATTTTTTTTTCTTGTTAAAATTGTTAATTAAACAATTTGTCTGTCTTAGTAAATTTATTAATTGAACTAAGTGTAATTAAATCATCGCTTTGAGCTGCTGCTTATCCGTTATTATGCCACAAATCACTATTTTTTGAAAGTAAATAAGTCAAAATGACATAAGCATGACAAGAGTAAAAAATTGAAGTTATTCATGTAAAGGTTATTTTAGAGTTTTTTAGCCTCGACAACTGTAATTGACATTTTTGACAGCTACAGTCATTTTTATCGGTATCGGTCAAGTTTTAGGCTTTCAGAAAAAAATGATACTATTTTTTTTCTTGTGGTAAAAATAGTGAACGAAATATGAGTTAATTGAAAAATTGTCTTTAGCCAAAAAGTTTTGAACAATGGCGAACAAAATTTTTTGGTAGGTGATGTTATTTTGAAACTTCATTTTTTTGTCAAAAAAAGTGGTTTCCCTGTGTAATTTTCACAAGAGAATGACATTGACGACTAAAATTTAATGCTCGCCATTGTACCATTGAAGTCAAAATATACTGGTACAGTGTGTAGACACTTCTAAAATTCAAATTTTGATTTTGACACTATTTTTGTATGTAAGTCGGATTTGTCATAATTTTCGAGTAAAGGTTAAGTATTTGTCATGGTAATGTCAAATATGTCATATGATTCTTAATAGGCATTAAATCGGTTCTTGGAAACAAGTTTTACGAATAAAATGATAAATTTATGACTTTGTGATAGACTGCGTTGTCTGAGAACTTTGACGTTTTAGATTTGTATTTTCACAAACTGTCATCTTGCTATTTCATAATCATAGCTTGCTAACGCAATTAATTATGTTCTCTCAAGCCAGATTTAAACAATTAAAATTTTGCTGTACCAGTATATATTGACCGCGATGGTACATTATTTGTGCGTTAGGTAATTTATAGCGTTTAGTTTTATTAAAGCACTCAGCTTTGCTTCGTGCTTCAATACTGAGCAAAAATAACTCACCGGTCATGTAGTGTAGCAAAAGCGCGCATATGGGATATATGGTGGGACTGTAGACGATATCTGGACAGGCATATCCCAGTACTGAGACTACCCTATCAGCGACACTCCTTCCCCTATGCGTCAGATAATAAAGTTGGCAATGTGATGGTTCGACGAACGGTGGCAAGCTAATGGGCTTATCTGGTAATTCTGTACTACCAAAAACTTGATTAACCATATCCCAATAGAAACCATCCGACATGTTATTAGATTTATTTTGATGTTGAATGCACAGAAGGGACCACAACTGTCCCCGTATGGGGCTGTCAACAGGCCATGCATTGTTTCTGAGCAAATGTTTGACATCTTGCTTACGTCCTTGCTGAAGAAGAGACTGCACGTCGCCGATGCTTTTCAACGGTTTGGAAGAAGGGCTCGGTGGCACAACCGTTATACCACTAGAATCCACAAACGGTGTATAAGCGTTTGATTGTTCAACGGCCACTTCTTCCAATACCGAAGGCATTATTTGCATTCGTGTTTGGTTTTTTATACAGTTGCAGCCCCTCCGATTGGGCAGACCGCTATGTGAGGTCCTGAAGCATTTTTCACGTCTGGAAAATTAAAAACAAACTTGATGAAGAAAAATATACTAGAAAATGACATTTGGACGCAAGTGACTGTTTACCAACCACCAGATTCTAGGTTATGTCTCTATCATGGTTTCTATCAAACCAGTGTTGTCAGCTCAAAAACTTGCCAGATTTAAAATTTTCTAATATTGCTTTAAATTATGTTACTAGATCATAACGCACAATTACATATGCGCGAAAATTGGCAATATCGTACGAGGTCGAAAACCTGTGCGATTTGTTTTCGCACTGTGTGTTAGAAATCTAACGCACAATTCACACTCGAATGTTTTGTATTTTTTCATTTAACGTATTTTTTTTTGTATCCATTACAAAAAATAAATCGTTATTCAACGTATTTTTGTATCCATTATAAAAAATAAAGCGTTATGAAAAAAAATAAGTTCGTAAGAAAAAATTATTTATGGTCGTAGGAAAAATAGTGTACAAAACTTGCAGGAAAGTGTCTAACGCACTCGCGGAATTGCCTGCACTCGGCTAACGCCTCATGCGCAACTTTCCCGCTCGTGCGTTATTTATCACTTTCCGTGCTCGTTATGTAATATACTATTAATACACAACATATTAAAATGGGACCTCGTTTAGCTTCTTTGTTTTTAATCTAACTTTTCTATTTATTTGAAAATGTTTAATTCTCAATTTTATTTTCTGTAAACCGACCCAACACAGTAAACTTTTCGAAATTAAATTTAAACTTTTCGAATTTAAATTGGCAACATTGAATTCGGTGTTGCCAATTTAATTTCAAAATCACTTTGATCATCACCAAATCAAGTAGGTACAGTTGCGGAATTAAAATTTCGGGCAGTATTTTTCTGTCACGTTAAAAAGTTCACTGTAAACTACCTCTTACTGTCACATTTGACAATTAAACTTTTTTTTTGTTGTTAAAATTGTTAATTAAACAATTTCTCTGTCTTTATTTTATTAATTGAACTAAGTGTAATTAAATCATCGCTTTGATCTGTTGCTTATCCGTTATTATGCCACAAATCACTATTTTTGAAAGTAAATAAGTCAAAATGACATAAACATGACAAGAGTAAAAAATGAAGTTATTAATGTAATGGTTGTTTTAGAGTTCACATTATGAAAATGACAATACTGCCCGAAATTTTCATTCCGCAATTGTACATAAATATTTTTTTTAGCTTCGACAACTGTAATTCTAATATCTAACCAGTGTTGTCAGCTCAAAAACTTGCCAGATTTAAAATTTTCTAATATTGCTTTAAATTATGTTAAAAAATTTTCCTAGGACCATATATGAAAGTAGATCATAACGCACAATTACATACGCGCGAAAATTGGCAATATCGTACGAGGTCGAAAACCTGTGCCATTTGTTTTCACACTGTGTGTTAGAAATCTAACGCATTCACACTCGAATGTTTTGTATTTTTTCATTTAACGTATTTTTTTTTGTATCCATTATAAGAAATTAATCGTTATTTAAGGTATTTTTGTATCCATTATAAAAAATAAAGCGTCATGAAAAAAAAATATGTTCGTAAAAAAATATTATTTATGGTCGTAGGAAAAATAGTGTACAAAACTTACAGGAAAGTGTCTAACGCACTCGCGGTATTGCCTGCACTCGGCTAACGCCTCGTGCGCAACTTTCCCGCTTCTACGTTATTTATCACTTTCCGTGCTCGTTATGTAATATACTATTTCTACACAACATATTAAAATGTGACCTCGTTTAGATTCATTTTTTTATATAATTTTTCTATTTATTTAAAAGTGTAATTCTCAATTTTATTTTCTGTAAACGACCCAATACAGTAAACTGTTCGTACAATACGTGAAGTGACTTTGAAATTAAATTGGCAACATTGAATTCGGTGTTGCCAATTTAATTTTAAAATTACTTTGATCATCACCAAATCAAGTAGGTACAGTTGCGAAATTAAAATTTCGGGCAGTATTTTTCTGTCACGTTAAAAAGTTCACTGTAAACTACTGTCTCATGACTGACATTTGACAATTAAACGTTTTTTTGTTGTTAAAATCGTTAATTAAACAATTTGTCAGTATTAGGAAATTTATTAATTGAACTAAGTGTAATTAAATCATCTGCTTAATCCGTTATTATGCCACAAATCACTATTTTTTAAAGTAAATAAGTCAAAATGACAAACATAACAAGAGTAAAAAATGAAGTTATTAATGTAAAGGGTGTTTTAGAGTTTAGGTTATGAAAATGAGAATACTGCCCGAAATTTTAATTCCGCAATTGTACATAAACCTTTTTTTTTTAGCTTGGACAACTGCAATTGACATTTTTGACAGCTACAGTCTATCTAACTAGTGTTGTCAGCTCAAAAACTTGCCAGATTTTAAATTTTCTAATATTGTCAAAAATTTACGTTTTTTTCACATAAATCTCACCCGCTAAACATTTTTCTTTCTGGGTGTAAACGTCCAGTACATTGTCATCTGCTAAAAACAGATTTGTTTTTATCTCGAGATTTAACTGTTAAATTCCATAACAGTTGAATTGATTACTGTTCTTTAATAAATTATATACAAGCTATTCTCAGAATTACGATAAGTAAACATATTACAATTTACATAAATGAAAATGTTTTTTCGACAACACTTTTAAATCAGTACTTTAAAAAAATCCACTAAAAATAACCAAAGGTCGATTTATCTTTGACCCAAACAAATGCTAATTAATTAGTTAAGTGCCTATTAATGTAAACATAAATAACCCTAAACACGTAAGTTTCATAAAAAAAAAATATTTCGTTTATTTCCAATCTATTCTAACATATCCTGCTATAAATCCAATCGTCGAAAATTAAACGAACCAAATATAAAATTTAAAATCCACATCCTGAACGAAGTACGACCTTGTTGGCGGAATTAAACGCCTAGTCTAATGTAAATAATACAAAAATTAAATCACACCTTTCATTATTCACATAATGTTCGTGCAAAACTATTCATTTAAAAATACAACATTATTATTATTACCTGATGTGTAATAACAGCACTTTGTGTAGTGTCATTTGAACATAATCATGTAATTAAGCTCATAATCCGCTTAGAATACACTAATTGTGCTATAAAATTAAGCAACAATAAAAAATTGTTTTTACTCGAAATATTTTACCAGAATAGTTAGCCACGTCTTTTTACAATTTCTCATTTGACTTAAACTTAACTGTTGCATTTTACATAAAAATAACCAAATAAATCATTAGTTAGTCAGTGGGAGATTGTTTATTAAAATTTTTGGTGCTTCAATCATGCAACATAATAATTGAAAAGTAACTAACTATAGGGTTTGCCAACATATGGTCATTTTCACAGTGCCTATTATCGTATCAACAAGAAGAATTTAGGGATATTTGTGAATAGGTTGCCATAAATTTGGTTAGGTTGGTTTGTGGTGACGAACAAAAGATATCGTAACTAGTGTCAAAAATTTAGTTTAAGTCAGCTTGTATAGATAAGTCAATTGATAGTTGACAGCAGAAAACGTCAACCGTCATCAACAAGGGGTAACAACTCTAGGCATTCAAAATTACTTCTGAAAATTCTAGTTGCAAACAACATGCAAAAAGTAATTTTCCTAAAAATTCAAATCCCTGTTGGTAATTTCTTGTTGACAAATGTATATGTCACCTAAATCAAAAATTACTGTTTGTGTTGGCAATACTGAATTCTGATTATAGACAGATTGAAAAAATTCTGTTACCAACTGAAACAGTTATTCTTAATCACCCAGTATAATAAGTTCGACAAGTAAAAGGCCACTTTTAACAAATTACTCTCACAATGTAAACAAAAATCACATAAATATGCATAAGAAAGTTAAGAAACAATGTAGAGCAAAGTAACTTTCCATATTTATTTGCATTTTAATCGAGTTATTTTCTTCGGTTTAAAAAAATACAAGACGTTGCCAACTTCTAGTTACTAAAAATGAGACGATATGAATGTGGTGATTGGTACTACAGGAAGTGTATTTCTTGTTATTCTAATTTTGTGCACGATGAGACAAACAGATTATTCATAAAAATGTACCTGGAATAGTGTTTGGGTCGAGTGTTTTAGACCAAATACGTCCTCCGATATCTGATAATAAATCATTCCCACAAGTGGTTTATTTGTTTCATTAAACCATAACTATGAAAATAAAAATTTAGTTCCAAAAAAGAGGAAAATAATTGGTTTGGGTCCTAAAATTAAGATTTATTTTTCTAGTGGTCATATTTTCTTAAATTTTAATGTAAAAAATAACTGTTTGACAATTGACATCCAAAAATGTACCAACCTCTAAATGTGAAACTTCCTAATGTGTCAAGCCCAAATTTACCAGATTTTAGAAATTCAAGGCGTGGGGAGTACAGAAATGGGTTACAGGCTTGCAAACATTACAAAAATTTGATCACATGACCCACAACAAGCTTAATTTACGACATGTAAGCGTGTAAATCACTACATCACTGGTTAGGAAATTCTTGTTGAGATCAAATCGGCCGGTCATAAACGTCAAATTATCAAACGTTATGGATTTAGTTCCAGGTCAAAATCCATACTCCCGGGGGTGCAAATTGTGCACCGTGGTGATAAATCTGACCTCGAATGTGCCGTTTTAAACGAGTCAAACGAGTGCGAAATTGATTTTAATCAGATAATCGGCGGCAGTTTAGGGCACTTACGTCGATCTCTCAGTGGGCCATTGGAGCTGAAGACCTGTTCGCAGACATTGATCCTGTCACGAAACACCACTTCCGGCACTACACCAAACACACTACAACACAAAAACCGAATTAAATCCTCTTGGATGCACACGCGCCACTTTTTCGGACCGCTGTTGGGACTAGATGAGCAACATCACGTCTACTGTGAACAACTGTCATTCGTCTCTTGCGCGTTAGCCACTCCCATTCGCACAACTGTCATTGTCAAAGTGAGATGAAGCGCGCCGATTTGAATAACAATTTCATCTATTAAAATTGTTATGATCACATCTTATTAGTGACGGACGCGAATATCACCACTACACACGTTCGGATCGTAAACAGATTAATGGACTCAATTGACGGAATGAGGAGGAATTAGCGAAACGTCCAAGAGGGACAGAGACAGAAGAGTGTCACGTGATTTAGTGTAAAAACGAAACTTGCGCGGCGACATCTAGAGGGGAAAACGCACCTAAAGCAGGACACTGTAATTGAAAATTTGTGATAATTGCGTTAAAGTGTAAGTCTATTATTAATTATACAAAAATTAATAAACACAATTAATGAAGTAAGAAGTATTGTGGTTAAACTGAAAAAAAGCGGCGATATCGTAAGGTCAAAACTCGTACTTAAAACAGGAAACTGTAAACTTGTCTAAAATTGTTTATTATTACAGTACACAATAAAATAAATCGAATAAATTTTTGTCGAAATGCTCAAGATTCAAGAATAAAACAATGCAAAATCCTATGTAACATGTTTATAAAGACGCAAAAATACAAAATAATAAAATAGTAATAACTATGTATAAGGAAAGTAAAAACTTGTTACCGAAATAAGTTATTTCCACTAGAACAAAAAATATCAGATGTCATCATTTCATGTAATTGTTTTCAGGATTCAGCAACATTGATATTTTATCATACGCATATCTCATTTTTTCGTAAAGAGCAATGTTGCATCCGTTATTTTCTAACGATGAAAACCTAAAGGTCCTAAACTGCTTCTCTTCGTCTATGTAGGTGATGGCGGCCATAAGGGGGCACATAATAATCTTGGTGTGGTCGCTGAAATTCATCTGCACTGTTCCGTTGTTCAATTGCATGAGTACCCCCGACGTGGACCTGCACCATTGGTGCAAGTGGGGGGTCCGCGATAGTGAATCTGCTTCGCGCAACACCGACGCCCCCGTCATGATGAGATGCTCCCGCATATAGCGACTAAAATACGACAATAGTTTCATCTTCTTGTCGTAGACTCGGGGGTAGTTGTCCATAGTCATGTACACCTCCTCACCGGTTTTATCTATGTAGTGGACGTTTCTAGAAAACAAAATAAATATATACAGGCTGTATTATGAAAAACGCCCCAAGCCATAACTCCATTATTTTTAAAGTTATGACAATACTTCTTAGAACAAAGTTGAATATTTTTTGTTATCTATCGTTTAGGATAGATGCTAAATTAATGCTGTTTTCTGTTTCACCAGAAATCACATCAACTTTATTTTTTTAAATGGAACCACCTGCATATTTTACCACTTTTGGATTCTTTATTTAATTGTCTTTTAACAAGTTTTAGTACCATATGCCTAAAACTAACCGTTCGTGAGATATTCACCAAATAATGTTTTTATGGAAAACAATAATGTCAAGTAATGTTGACAAATATTATTCCTTTGCATTTTCTCTTACTGTTTTTATACTTTTTAATGTTAATCATGGATGATAATGTGTTAACAGACACATTTTGAATAAAATAAAAATTGTGGGAGAGCACTACGCTTTTACACTGGGTGATTTCTGATGAGAAACGTTCCAAATCGCCGAAAATTTAAGCGACTTAAAGAAAATTTGAGGATGTTTTGGGCTTTTAGAAAACCCAAATTAAAACATCTCCAATTTCAAAGAGATACAGAATTAGATTGAAGAAAATGCAAGAACATGAATTCAAGAAATTGCAAGTAACGTTGGCTTATCGGACGCAACTGTTCTAATTTGGGTTTTCTAAAAACCCCAAACATCCTCAAATTTTCTTCAGGTCGACGAATTGGAACTTCTCTTATTGGAAATCGCCCAGTGTAAAGGCGTTGTGGTCTCCAACTATTTTTATTGCTTTCAAAATATTCTTGAATCATGTCTGTTAACACATTATCACCAGAACACCAAAAAGTATAAAAATAATAAGAGAAAATGCAAAGTAATAATATTTGTCAACATTACTTAATATTATTGTTTTCCACTGCCTACTTTAATAAATTTTTAATTGACTCATATCTCACGAATGGTTGGTTTTAGGCACATGGTACTAAAACTTGTTAAAAGACAATTAAACAAAGAATCCAAAAGTGGTTAAATATACAGCGTGTTCCATTAAAAAATATAAAGTTGATGTCATTTCTGGTGAAACAGAAAACAGCATTAATTTAGCATCTATCCCAAACGATAGATAAAATTTTCAACTTTGTTCTAAGAAGTATTGTAATAACTTTAAAAATAATAGAGTTATGGCTTGGGGCGTTTTTCATAATACAGCCTGTATATATATTCGTATGACAAACAATAAACAAATAAATAAATAAGTAATTTAAAAAATAGTTAGCTTACATTCCGTTAGGGAGCATTATTAGCTTGGTGGTGTCGTTAAACATGACACCGACGCACTCGTCAGAGAGTTGGTAGCCAAAGCCGTACTTGTCCGAATAGTCGACCCATTTGGACACCCAGATCATGGGTTGAGCGGCTGGGTCCGTCATCTCGTCGAGGAAGACGTGGTTTTTCGCCGGTTTCATTTTCAAAAGCTGAAAAAACAACGTTTTAGTTTTTGTTTTTTTTTTCAATGGGTTTTTTACATACCTTTCCCAACATACTCTTTAACGTAACAAAATTCTCCTTCGCGTCGAACACGTGATGATTGGGGGCACCTGTCAGATGTGCCGTTATCGAATCCTGCTGCACTCGCAACTCCGGATTTGGAACGGCGTCACCTAAACAAAAGACAATCACTCACTTGGAATGCTGAAAATTTTCATTGGAAAACAATGCTTTAAAGAAAGCCTTTGATGTCTTTTTATTTTTCAGTAATTCTTCAACTCAAGTAATTTCTCTCACAAAAAAAATTCTAAGCTCCTAATTTGACTATACAATATTTTTAATACGATATATCAGACAGTTTTTTTCAAGAAAAAATTTGCATTGTTTCAAATTTATTATCAAAAATCTAAAATAATGAAAAAACTTGTGAATTAAAAAAATTGCTGACTGAAAATCCTGATAAATTTTGAGTTTTGTTGAAGATTTTTTCCAAGTTTTCCTGGAATTTTGAGTATTTTTAAAGGGACCACAAAATTTTTGATTTTCTTCAATGGAACATTGTTTGTAATAAAAGTTTTGTGTTTTTAAAAAATTAGGATTCCATTTCGAATTCAGTGTTTTTTTTAAATGTGTTCCAGGTTTATAAAGATTAAAAAATAATAGCGTTTCACAAGTTTCTTGAAATGTTTTGAAATTTTTATTTCTACCTAGTCAAAAAAAAAGTTTTTATTTATTTTACTCTTGA